TTTCTCGTTCTTTTTCCCTTCTAGTAGCTGCACTAGCGGGGCGAGGATGTGTGCCGCTCGAGGGATGCATCTCCTGTAGAAATTTATTATACCCAAGAATCGTCTAAGTTGAGTGAGAGACGAAGGTTTGGGAAATTCTCGGATGGCTCTGACTCTATCAGGGAGTGGTTCCAGACCCTTTTCCGAGACCTTGAATTCGAGAAATTCGATTGATATTACGCCGAAGGTACATTTTGACGGATTTATGGTCAACCCATATTCCTGGAGACATTGGAATAAGGCGCGGAGATGCGAGATGTGTTTTTCCTGGGAGCGTGATGCTATTAGTATGTCATCGACAAAAGCATATGTGAAGGAGAATCCTCTGGTTACTTCGTCGATGAACCGTTGAAATGTTGCGGATGCGTTGCACAATCCGAATTGCATCCTGGTACTCTCGAAAAGACCAAACGGTGTCGTTATAGCTGTTTTGTGCACGTGCGGTGGGTAGATGGATATCTGATGATAGGCCTTGATTAAGTCTATGTGAGAGAAGATTTGTGTTCCGTGCAGTTCCAATGTAAAATCTGTGATGTTTGGAATGCCATATCTGTCCTTTATGGTTTGTGTGTTTAGAGCACGATAATCTCCCACGAGTCACCAATCCGAACTGTTTTTCTTGGTGACCATGTGAAGTGGTGATGCATAATTGCTTTTTGATGTTCGCATATGGCTGAGAGCTATCATCTTATCGAATTTGGCCTTAGTGATTTTAAGTCTATCGGGTGCTAGGCGACATGGTTTCGCAGTTACGGGTGGACCAATCTTTTCTATATGATGTACTACGTTGTGTTTTATGGGTTGATTAGGACGTGGAGGTCTGGTGATCTCAGGAAATTCTGACAATATCTTATGATATACGGAGTCGTTGGTCATTATTTTAATAGAGTGGATGAAGGTTTCTAATAATCTGCCTGGAGAGTTCACCTTGGTCTGAACGTCTGTGAGACACTAAGTCGGCTAAGCGTCTAAGATTCGGTACCAAATGGAAATGATACAAGAAATCTGCGCCTATTATTGCCGTTGACACGTTGCCAATAAGGAATTTCCAGCGAAAAATTTTCTTTAACCCAAAATCGAGAGTGAGTGTTCGTTGGTCGTAGACATGAATTGCAGTTGTGTTTGCTGCCATCAAGGTCATTTGAGATGTGCGTTTCTTTTGAGACGAGAAGGCTGGAAATATTGATACATCGAAACCTGTGTCGACGAGAAAGTTTATGTTTGTTCTCTTGTCTAGGATGAACAGGCGACGAGATTGTTCTGGCAAAGTGCATGTCGCCTCAATGCTTCGCCGCTCTCGTTTGTTGGAAAAACTACACGGAGGAGTACATTTTTGTGCCTTTGCGCCAAAACGGTTGTGGTACCAGCAGTAGTTGTTGATACTGCGGTGAGTTGAATTGTTGCGATGTCCTGAACTTCTGCGGGAGCATCGAGAAAAATGGTCACTGCGATCCTGACGTGCCTGCTTTAGTTGATTGATTCACTTGTTAAGTTTATCTATTTTGACTAGTATTTTGTTGGTTACGGCATCGGGTTTCTCAGGTTGCGACACTGAAGCTATCATTGCGGGGGTTACTTCCACCACACGGTTCGCTACCTCTGCTGCTTTGTCTACGTCGAGTGGGGTAATGGCGGCTAGGATAGATTGGACGGAAGTCGGAAGGTGTTGTATGAATAATTCTTGTATAACTGCGTCCGGAATTTGAAAATTTTCCGTCCGACGCTTTAGAACACGTAGTAGTTTGGAGGGTTTGCGATCTTCTAGCTGTTCTCCGGCCAATAGTTTTCGTAACTCCTGTTGAGACTATTCGCCGGATCGTTTAATAAGTTCCACCTTTATGTGACCGTACGGGTCTATATGGTTCAGAGAAATAATAATGTCTCTAACCGTTGATGTGACTTCCAGTGGTAAATGGGCCACTACATAGTTGAACTTTGTGGCACTTTCCGTGATCGGTTTTGGAGATCCTAGTGCAAATGTGCTTTCGCACATGTGGAACCATAAGGCTGGGTCGGAAAAGTTGTATGGAGGGATTTTTACCGCTCCAATCTCAGCCATGATCTGTCGACTGAGGTCTTGAGAAAAGGAAAACGGCATACCTGATGAAGGCTCCAATGGTAGTTCTTAGTCAAATTATGTTCTTAGTCCAGCTAAACCAATGTGGTTTTTGGGTGTGTGGTTGTCCTTATCTTTTGTCGCCGCGAGTGGAAGAAACGAACGAGACGAGATCGTAACAAAAACTAAACTTTTATGGTGCGACTATGCAGATGCAAATTTAGAGCAAGCGAGCGATTTAGTTTTCGCAAAGGAAAACCATGCATAAACGCGAAGCGAGAAATAACGCTGGCGAGAGCGAATTTCTGGTTCTTGCACATATCTGACAGGTTTTGATATTTATCGCTTTTCGCCTCTTCTCGCCACATATTCTTGCTCAGAAAATTCGCTCTCTCGCATCTGCATAGTCGCACCCTTACTGTCCTTCTCGTGTACTTGGTACAGCACATGTCTCGACGACACGGCTAACAAAGACAACTGGTTTTCGACGGTCTTGTGGGGTGAGTTCGAATTTATTCCCGGAAGTGATGACTCATACACCCGGGTAATTGCTTGTCTTTTACAACCATTGAGGGTACAGATGTGCAGGGCGGTGTTCACCACAATATGAAAAATGAGATTTTCATAAATATTATATGAAAGTAATTTTATAATTTATATTGTAAAAATATAACATTAATTATTGTACAGAATAATATTTTTTAAAATTGGTCATAAGTCTATCAAGTGCTGATCTTAATTTGGGATAAGTACAGATGCTCCTCTACTTGTGATCAGGTTAGGTTTTCAAGATGTAGTCGTAACGAAAACTAACCTAGAAAGTACATTTATATGCAGAATAACCATGTTTTGTTAGTGTTTGATCCTTGAATGTACTTAGTAGAACATGTTAAACTTGTTTATCTGCTCACTACTGCTTAGTAGGGATGTTTCAAATGCAGATTTGTGTTTTTTAATCTAATGTGTTTAATTTTGTAAGGACAGGTTTAGTTTCCATGGTGATAGAGTGACACTTCTTGTATTTATCTCCACTCAATACTCAATACTCAATATTCTTTATTTAGCACCAATTGGTGCATTCTCAGCACCGTATGGTACATAGCTGAGAGTTTCCTGTACAGTTACATATTATAGTACATATTATATTACAGTGGTACCTAAGGTTTGGGAAATTCTCAGATGGCTCTGACTCTATCAGGGAGTGGTTCCAGACCCTTTTCCGAGACCTTGAATTCGAGAAATTCGATTGATATTACGCCGAAGGTACATTTTGACGGATTTATGGTCAACCCATATTCCTGGAGACATTGGAATAAGGCGCGGAGATGCGAGATGTGTTTTTCCTGGGAGCGTGATGCTATTAGTATGTCATCGACAAAAGCATATGTGAAGGAGAATCCTCTGGTTACTTCGTCGATGAACCGTTGAAATGTTGCGGATGCGTTGCACAATCCGAATTGCATCCTGGTACTCTCGAAAAGACCAAACGGTGTCGTTATAGCTGTTTTGTGCACGTGCGGTGGGTAGATGGATNCTGCAATCTTTGGCTATGTCTTCGGCTACTCAAATATTTTACGTTTTTGATACTAAATTACTTCTGAAGTATAATTTTTTTATTGTTTTTATATTTTTCAATGTATTTATTTTGTTTGTACAAAATAAAAAAATAATTTTTAACGATACAATAGTCTTCGTTAGGCTTAACATCGACAAAAATTCAACGCGAAGCGACATGCAATGGAGAAAAATTTCAACACGGGATAAATTAATATATTTTTTCGTACATAATTGGTTATCCGAACAACCCCAGTCCCCAATTGATTCGAATAAATGACGCTCTACTGTAATTTAAAATATTTATACTAGTTTTAGATCAAACATTTGACATTAATAGGTACTAATGTATTTGGCTACAAAGCATTTGGTATAGTATTTGATAAGTCTTTTTGTTTACGCACTTCCAAGTAAATGAGCTAAATATTTCCTGATATTTGGCTAAATATTGGGAATTCAGTAATCAGGAAAGGCAAAAATATTTGGTATTCTATATTTGGTAACAGTATCATCAGAATAATTGTTTGATATTTGGCCAAAAAATCCTACTTAGTCCATCCCTAATTTAAATCTTTAAATCTGTTCAGTTTTATTTAGATATATTTTTTCATTTTAAGTTGAATAAAGTATTAGATGCTAAAATTTAGAGAATATAATGTTAAAGAAGTATTTCAGTATTATAAATTGCTAAAAAATTTAATATAGAAATGATATAGACAAGCACTACCATGATGAATGAGTCACTTTTTCTCTCATAATTTTTAGATGTTGTATGTGTACTTGAAAAGTTATATGGAAATATTTCATTTATGGAAGGTAGTTCATTGCTATAATATGTTTTAACAAAATAGCTTTAGTTAAAGTATGGAAAAATAGGTTATAAAAAATGTTTTATCAAGAAACTGAAAATTGTTGTACATAAACATATTTATGCCAAATAAGACCATATAGACAATAATGACTAGATATCTTTTATTTATTAAGATGAAACATGAGTAAATGAACATCATAATAAAATTAAACACTGGAATGAAGGCAGTTTTATTTGTGCTCATAAAATTCCTACTAGGTATGGTTATTTAAATTTTGGACCATGCAGGAAGTATAATTGGATTTGTATTAAACACCCTACTGTTATTTTGATCTAAAACAAACTTTACTAATTATCATGCTGAAATGAATAATATCTGTTTTCATAAATGGTTTGAAGAACAGTTATTACCAAATATTCCAGGAGAAAGTATAATTACAGATAATGCATCTTATCATTCAAAAGAATTAGAAAACTCCATTATCAAGAAAAAATAAAAAAATAGCTTGGCTAAATAAGAAATGAATTCTTCATTCTTCTGATATGCTTATAGCAGATTTATGATATTAAAGTTTATAAACCAAGAAACAAGGTTTATGAAATCAATGATAAACAGGGTTTATCAAAACGTGTTAAGTTACAACACGTTTTGATATTATTGTTAGCTATTTATTTATTCCTGTATATACATAAGTTGTTAAAAGTTCAAATTCAAATGAAATTTGAACAAAAGGTTCTATTAGAACAATGAATGTGAAAGCCTGAAGATAGCCTATCCAAATAGGCTGAAAACATTTGGAATAAAGAAAAAAACTCGGCAAATATATTCAAGTGTGTTTAGTAATATAAGAAATCAATGAATTAGCAAAAACTTGAAGTCGTTTATTGAGCTGCAATTTGAAAATGTAGACCTATGAATTCCCACTGTCATCTATTCATCTGTCTTTTCGTAATCTCGATAACACAGTTAGATAGATGTAAGATGAGACAAGATGTGGAAACCTTAGGGGCAGGAGGCCCTGATTAACTATATATGAACTTCTGATGCAAACTTGAAGTCACATTATTTAAATTCAAAAATTTTCCCCTGAAAGGAGTTAGATTATGACTAGGAGGACTTTGTTGCTAACAGGAAAAGTATGATGTACAGTACAGTGGCAAATCAATTTCAAATTTACTGCATTGGTCTCAGATGAATTAAGAAAATTCCATGTGACTATCTTCTGTACTATCCGTGTATTTATAACTTTTGTAAATCATCATTTTTTTTTTATAGTGTTGGTATAATCATTCACTTTAAAACAAATGTAAATCAACACTACTTAACTTTTAATGTAATGTTTAATTTAAACTAAACATTCTAAAACAAAGAAAAATATTTCACATCAGCAACAATGATGTGTTAAATTTCACAACTGTTATAATTAAATCACACATTTATTTCAGATAACAACAGATATTAAAAATACATTAAAACTTTGTTTAACTCAACATAACCTTCATTTATTACCATGTCATCTGAAGGCATCACTGTACTGATTGTCTTTAAATTTCAAAACATATCATTATAAAGTCTACAAGACTAAATCTAAGTACTGTTTTACATGTATTGGATAATTTAAAGGAGATTAAAAATTGCACCCCAGCATTTGACAATTTCACAATAAATAATCACTTGTTTTAAAATTATCTTCATATCATTGTGATATGAATCCTATAGAATTAATATAGACATGAATAAAAAATCAATTTTATCAAAAATTGTTTTGTTTAAACTTCCCAATGTGAAGGACTTGACATCTATCATTGAAAGTGTCACAACTTGTAATTGGAGAAATGCAGTGAAACATATACTGAACATTAAACAGATATATTGGAACAGAAGAGCATGTCAATCCATTAATTATTACTGTTTCTGATGATGCAGAAATCAGTAGCAATGAAGATGAGCTCAGAGTAGTGGATATTCTTGAAATGCCCTAATTCTTAAAAATTCTTTAAAAATTATTTTAAATCCTTATTCTGAATTAATACTGATTGGTGATGAAAACCTGTTTTCCTTAAAAATTTTAATAAAGTTAGTCATCTCTTTTAGTTGTAGATCTTGATCTTCCAACATGTTATTAAATTAACCCATTTCACTGCCTGAAACCAGTGTGCTGCTTCTCCAAAGAAAGCAGAGGACTTTGCAAACATTTTCTAATGTGGTTCTTCTTCAGGCACTATGGATATGTTATTAAATTATTGTAATTAGTTAGATAAGAGATGGCGTCTATTGTCTACCTCTACTTCCAATATGTTGCTGATTTTTCACAGTTCCAAATGTTTTAAACTTTGAAATTATTTTTAAAACTGTTCCTTGAGAGCATTGTAATGTTTTTGTTATCCTTTGTGATGCATTTAAATTATTCTTTCCTGTCTGCATTTAATTCACTAATTGGTACTATTATTATAACTTGCTTCACTGTATATTACAAATACTTTACTATAATGATGTGATAAAATTCATTTACAAGAGTATTATTCATTTTAGCATTTTAAAATCCAATATTTTTTAACATAAAAATTTTTATTGTAATAATCAAAATATGCCGTACTTTTGTTCAACTCCTGTTTTAAAATTTTGTTACTTTGAAATTTATGCAAATGTCTTTACAACATTTGGTATGTAAATTCTTTAATATGGCTATTATATTTGTCAGTTGTTAAAGTTCAATAATATGACTGAAAAAAATATACATGTTTTTTGACAAATTGACCAACAATCCCTGAGTAAGCCAAAGTTGGAATATTTTGTTAGTGTTATGGAAAAATTATTTCTGTCATATACATTAAATGACAGGGAAAAAAAATTTAAAAATAGTATTAAGTACTAACTAAAGACATTATTTGTGATTCACTTTAGCTTGATAATTGTTGCGTCTTGCGATTTCTGTCTACCAATATAACTACCATCAGTGTGACCTTGAAAAGTTAATCTTTTGTTAGATGGGATAAATATCTGATTCTTTAACTACTTGGGATTAATTTAACATACATTTTTTATCTTTTGGATTTCAGTCTTATCTTTTTCAATTTACTGACTTGTGTTATTTCAATGTTATAACCAGAAGTAGTTTGAATTTGGGTATTGGAATATGTATGTATAATAGCTTGGCATGTTTCAAGACATTTCTTTGTCACTTTATCAGAAGATTAAAAAAAGAAAATGGATTTTCTTTGGATTTTTAACAATAACTTTTAGTTGAAATGTTAAGCCAATCAGATGTTTGTATAATGGGTGTTCTGTTATTTTCTATATAAAAATTTTCAGTATACTAAACATCCTAAAGCCTAATACATACATATTCAACCAAACAATTGCCTTAAACAAATTATAATTCTTAAATATAGATAAGAGATGGCACCTAATGTCTACCTCTAGTATCAAATTACTTAGTATCTAATCATTAATAATAGTGGATTTATAGCCCGATTATTTAAGGTGATTGTTTGGTTGAGTATAAAAATTTTCATTTGAGCAACATTTTGGAATAACCTATCACTTTCATCATTTATGAAATTTTGTCTAGGTTGTGCTTGCTATTCAGAAATGCTAGTATCTATCCAAAAGCATTTCTTAAAATTTGAAATATTCTGGTCAATTTAATACAGTATAACATTTTATGCTGAGTCTTTCTTTTTTAAAACTTCAAAAATAAACATTTTATATAATAGATTATTTTCATATTAAAAATGTTACTCATAGATTGCATCATTTTATAATTTTTAAAGTACAGGGTGTTTTTTTTAAACTGATGTTACTCAGAGACATCTGTAGAGCAATCTAACAGCTGGATGTCACCAAATTTGGGAGAGTGACTAAGAGCAGCATGGGAAAGAGATTCTGCGAAGAGAAAAGTAGTACCTAAATTTGCCAGTAGGGGTGGATTTGGTGCTGCTGTAGCGAAACAGCTAAGAATTTGCATAATGCGCTGGTAACACCTCAAAATTGAAATTCAGAATGACATGGTCGACAGCAGCACCACCTAATTTGAGCTTAAAAGACAAGGACAAAAGTCTGAAGTGCATTCCAGACTTCAGCAGAGTTCAACATGCATTTTTCGTTACCTCAGCGTGTGTTGCTTGTGAAACTTTATTATCTTAACCAATTGAGCGCACCAGGTGCTCTTCATGAGTTTAGAACCCGTAACAACCTGCGCAGATGTCCTCTATCAATTAATGCATTGAAAGGCTTGGTAAAGAAATTTGAAGAGACATGATCTTTAGCAGTTCAGCCTGATAGAGGCCAAAAACTGGTGTCTGCACTTAGTGATGTTGCAATTGCACTCGTTGAAAGTTCTAACCCCTGGATCTAACCCCATGTGACTTTTTCCTGTGGGGTTACTTAAAGTCCAAGGTCTATCTTGGTGGTGTCTCCAACTCAATTGATGACCTTGAAGGACAACATTTCTTGAACTGTGATGAACATTCCTGCGGACATGTTACGTTCAGCCGTAGAGAATATGGTGTTCAGGATGCAGTGTTGTCCAGCAGGGCAATGGTCACATTGAAGGAGGAGAAGCTTATTTGCTGATTAATTAAACTTTCATTATTGCACTGAAACCTCTGTCTGATTATTCATTTGTGTGTTTGTTAAATGCAACTGGATTTTATGCAAATTCTTAGCTGTTTTGCTACAGCATTGCCAAATCCATCCCTACTGGTGAATTTAGGTATACTTTTTTCCTTTGCGGAATCTCTTTCCCATGCTGTTCTTAGTCACTCTCCCAAATTTGGCGACAGTCCAGCTGTTAGATTGCTCTACAGATGTCTCTGAGTACCATCAGTTTAAAAAAACACTCTGTATATTAAAAGTTTATTTTAAAACAAAATTTGTGATATTTTACAGCTGTCCTAAAATTTTTTGAACAGAATTTGTACTTTATTACTTTAATAAATGATGATGATGATGATAAACTAATAATAATTTGCTTCTATAATTTAGGTCCATTTACCGATGTAGTTACATCAAATTTGAAGTTGACTAATCCTACAGAACGCAGAGTTTGTTTTAAAGTGAAAACTACAGCACCTAAACGTTATTGCGTACGTCCTAATAGTGGAATAATAGAACCGAGACAAGCTGTAAATGTTGCTGGTAAGTAATTTATATAAAAATTTTTTTATATTTTGTAAAAGGTTCAGAAATAAAGATTATTCAGTAGGAGTTCAAGTGTATTTCTCAGGAATTAAATTGACTCTAGCAATGCATCTTCTGTGACAAATGCATGTTGTTAGCTGGTTTCTTCATCACATAAGATTGGAGATAATAGTATTATAAGTGACTAATGGTCTTATAATTTTTTTTATTCTAATTTAGTAAATTTATATGAAGATTATTTGAATTTGTGTTAATCAGTCTTTTATTATAAAGGTAAATTTAGTTTACCTAGTAGCTTGCAATAATGTCTTTCTCTACTAATGAAAACTCAATGCATATAAACCATAAAATAATACCTTTTAATACTTTAATTCTCCAGTACAAAACAATAAAACTGACTAATATTTTCAATCTAATACCAAGATCTTTATCAAGTCAATTAACATTCCAATATTCAGAACAAAAATCAAACAATTACATATTACAAAACTAAGAAGAAAAATTTTTAAATAAATAATTACTGTGAAATATCATGCCTATAGTATACAGTAAATGTATAAGTAAAATTATTTTGCATTAATATTTAACAACCATTTTTCCGTTTAGTGATAATGCAACATAATGGTTTAGTGTGGACAATATGACAACATAATAAAGTTATGAGGATCAAGGGCATAGACACTTGATCTATGTCACTTACTGACTTGCAATCGTTGAATTGGCTCACTAAACTTTTTCTAGGAGGGCTTTTTATAATGTTAAAAGAAGGATCTAGGAGATGAATTTTAGATCTAGTCAGGATTCCTTGACACCAGTTAATCAATTTTATTCTATGCAGATTAACACTCGTATCAATATTGTATGGAGATGAACTTTCCTTGTTGATTCAGATAATGTAAGAGACATTCTTTTTAACAAATAAAAACAAATATTTAATGAAACAAAAATAAACGAAATTATACAACTTTGAATATTCGAATAAAGCGACTTCTAGAGAGAGAGCTCACAATTTCTATCAAATTTATACTATCTCTAATATCTTTATCTTCATCTGTCTTTCAGATTAATGCAACGGATTAATACCTTCTTTAACTAATAATTTCAGATTAATACCTTCTTTGTTAGTTCTTGAATGGCAAATATTTAAACAATTTCTTCTCTAGTTTTACTGACTTATAACTCATTTAGGAGACTTCAGGAATCGGTTATGGGCATTGGCCGGAGGGAGCGGGTGTGGAATACGTCTGTCCTCTTTTGGATCTTCTGGCGTACTCTCCAAATGATGCTAGATTCTCTCTCTTTCTCGCGAATTTTCACCAATCAGCATTTTTTATTTTTCCACATGAACAGGAAAAAGGGAATTTTACTGAGGGATTGACAGTTTCCAGGATGACTAAGATTTTTAAGAGGTAAGGGAAAACAAAAGGATGTTTCAACTTCCGTTAAAGGAAGTGACTTTTTCCAGTTTCCTTCGTTTTAGAAAATATAATTTTCCCATCAAAATTAATGAATATTTTCATCTAAAATTTTACTTTTTCCAATTAAATTTTTAATTAATCACAGGGGTGGTTCACATCTTACAAAGTTAATGAATTTAAACCAATAAATACCCTTAACTTTTTTTATAATGCTACTGTTCAAAACTATGTTTATTATATATGATTGGATTGTTCGTAAAGACTCATTGAAAGTGGTAGTTGAGTACAGTATCGCTTGTAATACATCATTGTTTGATTTGCGTTCTGAATATTGAAACGTTAATTGACTTGATAAAGATCTTAGTATTAGATTGAAAATGTTAGTTTTATTATTGTTTTGTATGGAGAATGAAGGTATCAAAGGTGTTATTTTACAGTTTGCAGCGTTTGCAGTTTCAATATAGAATTTCAGTACCAAAAAAAATCACTGTAATAGAATATAAAAATTTTAATTTTATTATTAATCTAAAAAATATTTGTAACATATAAATATAAAATACTTTCTGTAATTACATTGATTAATGATTGTTAGCTTTGTTTTTTAAAATCTTAGATTATCAAAGCATTTAGTAGACAGTTCTGATGTATGATTCAAGAGCGTGTATCAGAAAATTAATTATTCTGAATTTTCTGATTCTTCTGGCTTTCCTGTACAAAAAAAGAAAAAAGTATGCAAAATCTTCAACTGCTGATTATGTTGAACCAAGATGATGATTTTAAACACCTACCAGAAATATTATTCAAATTATAATCAGATTGGTTCTGATAGTGGTGCTTCTATCCATTTTGAAGAAACAATCAAAAATGTTATCAGGAACTTTCGATGGGATAGTGATTCCTCATCTGACAAATTACTTAGGATAGTGGTTCTCAACCTTTGTTGATGTACCCCATTAGCTCATTAGTTGTTTCTCAAGTACCCCATATAAATTTATATGTAAATTTTATAATTACTGCATTAGATGTATACAGCCCTTATAACTGAGTGTCATAAAAAATCTCTAGCTAACTAACTATAACTAAAAGTGGATTACTTATTTTATGTAAATAATAATAAATTTAATCAGGTACATACATTTATTTATTTATTATTTGATAAGTATATTATATAAAATCACAGAAGTAATTTATGCATGTATTGAAATGACATTCCCTAAAAATAAATAATTATAATTAACAATAAACAAACTTTAAATTATTCTACAATAATTTCTAACAAAATTTAATGGGATATTTGTTGCGATAAATCTTCAACAATTTTTTCAAAATTTGGTTCCCACATTGTTAACTGACAGTGAATGGCTGCTGATGCATGAAGCCTGTTTCTTTTTTTAGTTTGTATCACAGTATTTGGCAAACTTGCATTCGCACAAATACATTGTTACAAATGGTAAAAGTTTTATAGCTTTATTGGCTATGTTTGGATAAGCTTTCACTAGACAAGCACAAAATGACAATAAAGATACAGTAGAAAACATTTCTTTATATGTCATGTCAGTAGAAATGTCAATCAATTGCTCTTCTTCTTTTGCTGACAAGCTATACTTTTTTTTTTTTTTTTCATTCTAAAATTAATGCTTGGTTAAACCGTAATTTTTCTAGACTACAGGTTCACTTGGCACTAATGGCACAAATAGACAGGCAAATCAAGTGGATAAACAAGTTGTTTGGACTGTTAACTCCTTCATTCCCGATCATTAATGAAATTTATATTAAATTAATATTAAAAACCATAAAAAATACTTAAAACTGAAAAAAAATGAAAGAAATGCGTTAATTTTGAAGAAAAAGCTTCAAATTTTATTTTCCTTTGTCTGGCCTTTCTGTGAAATTTAACACCAACGAGTCATTGTTTACACATCTG